ATAGTCACATGACCTAAATATCATTCTCGTCAACTTCATATTTCTGTATTTCATGCTAAATATCTGCCTGGCTTGTTTGTAAATACCACTGATCAATCAATCCTTTGAATTACTGGAAGTGTTAGAAAGTAATTTCGTTGATGAAAGTGTACGCATTACATGAATATCAGGCTTTCTTCAGTATTTGGGGCAGTTGCTAATTCACATTCGGGACAGTTCTGCATCTGTGCATTTAGCAGCTTCTCTTCCAGTTGTTTTCCTCAAAATTGTGTTTAGCATAGGTTCCAGTGATTTCCATCATTTATGGTATACGTAAGAGCGAAAATAGAATAAAATCCTAGAATAAAAAAAATAAAATCGTCATTTTCATTTTAGTGCGCAGGAATTCTCTGACGGATATGTGGACAAGTTTTTGACGGCATACTTTTTGTATTCATTTTTCCACACCAAAAAGGAGTATGAATTAATGCTTGAAATTCTTGCTTCCATTATTTGATGTGAGATCTCTAGGGTTTAATCGCATAAGTAGAGAATTTTTTCGCAGTTCATTACAGGTGATTCGTCTTTTGGTCGCTAATCGTCGCAACTATCCAATCGCACTGATAAGGCGTACATTTCGAGAAAAGGGACCATTGTTCACGCAGTACGGTGTAATGATGCGTTGCATTCGTGGCTGTCATTCCGCCTCAATAATAACTCTGCATTACCTCGAAAATGGCTCCATCGTTATTGCCTTGCAGGTTCCTTTCTTTCTAATGAAGTTGCTGTCGTTAATTTAAAAATTTAAACTTCCTCTATCTATGAGATGCGGAGGTACTGCAAAATATTCGTAACAGTTCCTAACAGCGTTCATCCATTGGCAAGTTTGGCTTCCCTTAAGATTGCTTATAAGCAAGCTGATGGCGTTTTGATTCCCTGGCATCCTTATTTTTCGACTAACATAGTTGGGGCTATCGAGCATGAATGCAACGCGCTGCTGGTATTTTAAACCATGGCCATCAGCAGTTATTAATACTAAATTATTCATTTTTTGTTAATCAAAGATTTTTCAACTTGAAAAATCTCGTGAGTTTTTGGAATTGTTTGCTGTATATGTTCAAACTTTGGTAAAATCGTACAAAATTTGCTGTGTTTGTTAATGAATTTTACGACAAGTGTACAACAGTTTTGGTGAAGTTTCATAGTAATTACCGTCAAATTTTCGTGTCTCTGGATCGCCATTGCAGTTCCGCGCAGTCATAGTGCCGTTGCACTTGTAGCGAGCCTTCTTTTATATGAATTCATCAAATGCCACGCAGTTCCACATAGCTTAAGATTCTCCAATCAGATTTTTCAAATGTTTTTTTATTCGGAAATAACTTAAATGAGTTTAGTTTCGACGTGAATTGTTTTATTTACCACTGATGTATGTGATCAAGGCGCTAACATCGATGAATGACCAGTGCATCAAAGAGCATATGACAAGATGCCGACCCGGTGACCGTTTTTGGGAAGGTATATTTTTTATTATTGATTTCGTACGCAACGATTTATCAGGATTACCAAGATTGCTAGAACAGTTGATGTGGGGAAACCAACTCTGTTGATATTGCTGCTAAGCTCAGTCAAGCCAGGCTCAGAAATATTAGGCTCTTCGATCCTATTTCTCATACCTTGAGCTAGTAACCATCGCCTTCAAGATATAATTCAGATTTTCATGTTTTTTCTTTCGTGTTTTGTGCATATCTGTTTGTTCATCAATGCATTAACATCCGCTAGTCAAGCTGAAGTTTGTTCGTACCACTCAATTTTAGCATTTCAGAATGTCGCAAAAAGCTGTGCGACATTTTGACGTGCTAAACATCTTGGCATGCTAGAAGCTGTCGGGGTTTGAACGTCATCTCGTCACAGCATTGTTTCGTTCCTTGCCATTTTCACATTACTTAAAGGGTTGTGTCGAAAATTTTGTTTGAAAATACAGCAGTTGTTGAACTGGCCGAAATTTTGGACTTTATTTTGAATTTAGCTGCTTTTTATTTCTTTTCAATATCCTTTTGTACTTTTTTAACATTTTGAGCTTCTTCATTTCTTCGTTGAATAATTAGAAAAG